AATCTCAACCTTCCCACCCAAGGCTGTGGGTCTCCAGTGCTCACTTAATTGCTCTAAGGCTCAGTTACCCTGCATGTAAATTGGGAATGATAGCACCTGGGGTGGGGGTTGGCTTGAGGATTAAATAGATTAACATAGTACCTGCAAACAATAAACACTTTAAAAATGGTAATTACTTTTGTGTTTAAGAAAACCAAGAACAAAATAATGTTAGGCTCTGCAAATGAGGGATGGAAGGAATAAATGATATCAAGTTTTGGTTATAATACCACAGTAATGAATATTAATTCATAGTCACTATGCATGAGCATATATTTGAATAAGCAGTCTTGATCTGTGGAACAAGACTCTGTCCTCTTGGGCTTTAGAAAAGCCCATCTCTTTCTGCCTAGATGTCTTTCAATGTATATAGCTAATATTTCATTAATTATGGTGGAGGAGTGTTGTGTATACATCAATGTCTCATATGATGCATATAATTAAGCTACTTTTTGTTGGGAGCGGAAGAAAATTGGGCTTTCCCAAAGAAAAGCAGCTTGCTCCCAAAGTTGCTAACAGATTGCTTCTTAATTGAACTTGGGAGGTGAATTATATGGTGAATTAGAAAAAAGAACAACTCTGAATTTAGTGAATTGTTCCATAAAGGAAACTGTGGGATTGAATTGCAAATGCTGGATAGAAACATTTCATCCTGGCCCCATGCATCACGGGCCGTTGACCTCCGCTGTGTTTCAGTGAGAGCGTGAACAGGCCTGTAGCTCTCTTTTCAAGGCCTGGAGGGCATTCTTTCCCAGAGACCAGCTGTAAGCCTGGGTTTCTTATGCAAAGGAGACGTTTGAATAAGCCCCTGTGACTAATGAAATCTACAAGGTCTTTGCATATCCTCTCACTGAAGGGGTAATTAACCAAAGATCAAATACGGGCATATATATATGTTTTTTTTTCCAAATATTTTTTGTCTTGCAATTATACCCAAGGAAAAATATATCACCCCCCCCACCACCATGCTCTTACCCCACTGTCCCCCTGTCTGTGGTAGGCTGTATTTCTCTTCCTGGTTCTGTGGCGCCCACGGCCCCTGTTCCAGCCACAGTCACACCTGTCTTACTCATTTGCTAGCTTTTACTGGAAGAGAGCAACATTTTCCATTGATGTAGATGTGAGAAATGACTTTTTTCGTGTTTGATGTCTTTTTCCAGTCCCACATCTTTCATGCTCTGTGAGCTTGGGAAGGAAGAGTTTGGTTGTAAGAAAATATCTTGAGCTAAGCCTTCCTCTTACGGGTTCCATGAGTAGTGAATCTCAACCTTGGCTGCACCTTAGAATCACCTGAGGAGCTTTGGAAAATCCCGAGGCCCAGCCCAGGCCCAGACTGATTAAATATGACCTATGTGGAATGGGACCCGGCATCAGTGTTTGTCTAAAAAGCTTCCTAGGTGATCGCAAATCGCAAGATAGGTTAAGAACCATTGTTCCAAGAATATCTGCTTCCCTGTTTCCATAAAACCTGATGAAGACAGATTTTCCCATCCATTAGGCCAAGTTAGAAAAGACTGAGTTATCTTTTTAAGCACCATCTACCTGATTCAGCCATCCATCCATCATTCCATTTATCCATCCATCCCGTAATTTATTGAGCGTCTGCTATGTGCCAGGCACAGTGCTGGCTGTTCATCGGTGGACAAGACAAGGTCCCTTTCATCAAGATGCTGAGAAACTAGAAACCAGACTCAAGGATCAACTGAATGGACAGGAGATACCGATACCTTGTGATCAGGGATGTGAATTAGCCCAGCCACTGCAAAGTGCACAGAGCAGAGTGCTTCTTACCTGGGAGGAGCAGCGAGGCAGTCCCAGGGGAAGTAGGGTCCCACCTGAAACTTGAAGCACAAGGAGGATTTGGCCAGGTAAAGAGGTGGATGTGGCTGAGGAAAATAGAAATCAAGGTGCTATAGGTAGCTGAGTGGGGTGGGTGAGTGGGAGTAGGAGAAGTAGCAGGAAGCCCCAAGGCACCAGGTGGAGGAGGCCGCAAGGAATGAGAACTCATCCCAAGGGCAGTGGGGAGCCTCAGGTAGAGTTTCCTCCGGGAGAATGGGCAAACCACATTAAATCCAGGTAGATCCCGGGCTCAGCTGTACTGGAAGCATGAGATTTGCTGCCCTTCTGAGGAAAAAAAAGTCTGTAGTCTCCTGCTGGTAAGGATGATAGTGGAAGGATTTGTGTTCTTAGCTCACCAGGCCCCGAGGCTCTCACAGGCCTCCTGGGGGGGAAAAAAATGCCATGGGTCCCTTGGGAATAACCACCCTCTCCCAGGTACCCTACCTATTCTAGTTCTTTTTGGTCCTGGGGCTGAGGGGAAGGAGCACAGATTTGAGGGTCAGAGAGGACCCACCTCCAGCTATCACCATTGCTAACTCTCTGTACCCTTGAGACAGGCAAGTCACTTCACCTCTTGGAGTCTTGTTTCCTTCCTGGAAAATGGGGATGTTTATGGCACTTTTGTCATTGTGTCTTTAGGAGGCTAGAATTATGAAACTCAATATGAGAAGAACATTTAGCACTGTTCTTAGCACATGTTCAGCTCCATAACTGGCATTTAGTAAATGCTGATTCTTCACCCCCGCTTCACCCCCCCACCTACTAGGGAGCACCTTCTTCTCCCCTCAACTCCAGGGCTTTAGCTCCTGTTGTAACTCCAAGTACCGGGGCCAGGTGGATCAGAAGTTGTCCACTCCTGCCCCCCTCTGCCTGCTGCACAGCTGAGTATCAGTCTCTGCTGCTTTTGCGCCCTCAACTGCAGCCTACAGCTAACCTTGAACCCGGGCTGTGCTCACGTATCCTTACAGGTTTAATATTTTTGCCTCCCCCCACCCCTTTCGCAGGAGCCAAGCACATCTAAATTTACCAACCCTTCATGCTGGGCTAATGCTATGTGGAATCTCCTTTCAAATGCCAGCCTCCGGAGTCCCCCTCCTGTCCACTACTAATAAACCTGGTCATATTCAAAGCTGGCACAGTTACAAAGCCCTCTCATGTCCTCTGGCTCTCGTCTAGATCCCTTGGAATAAAAGCCAAATCCTGAAAATGGCACCAGATGAGCTAACCTTCCAGACCCTCCACTGCTCTCTGGCCTCATTGCCTACTACCCTGTTGCTCACCCATTCCATTTCACCTACCACCAAGCACACTCCCACCCCAGGGCCTTTGCACTTGTTGTGTTCCTTAGTTTGAAAAGTCCTGCCCTAGTCTTCTGTAGAGTCTCTCCTTCACTCTCTTCAGGCTTGTGCTTCTCTATCTCCCACGAGACAGCAAGCCCTTATCCCTAGCATTCACTGTTCCCCTCACCCTTATTTATTTTCTTTATGGTGCTTTTTGGCAACTGACTTGAATATTTAGTTGACTATTTGCTTATTGTTTTCTCCCCCTACCCTCCATCAGGATATAATTTCCATGAGGTCAGGGTAGTGTTTGTTCTGTGTTGTATCCTGAGCAGCAGAAACAGCATCTGGCGTGTAGCAGGTGTTGGATAAATATTTGTTGAATGAGTTAGTGCCTAAACAAACCCATTGCCTCATTTTGTCTTCAAAACAAACAGCCCATTTGACAGATGAAAAACTGCAAATGCCCAAGGTCTGAGCCACAGTTACACAGCTAGTCCCGGAGCCTGGGCTTCGGGCTCCCCGTCACTCCACACATGCCACATTCCTCTGTTGGCCAGCAATTTTCATACCATCAGGATTTCCCCCGACCTTTAGCCTGAGAGGAAATGATATCACAGCTGGAAGAATACCCAGAGGCTGGGAGCTGGCCGCCAACGCCCCAGCAGCTGCAGGGAGTGTGAGCGGATTCCGAGTTGGCAGAAAGGCAGCGGACCGGGCGGGATGGAGGCTCACAAAAATGTCAGCGCACGCCTGGTCTCCCGCCAGTGTCATAGGTTGGGCTGCGGGGCTGCAGGGCCCTCTCCCTCAGTTGTCTGGGGCCAGGTCACTGGGTTGCGTGTTTGGGATCCCACCGAGTCATAGCAGGTCGTCTATGAGCTGTGTGGCCCAGGAAAGATCATCAGGCTTCTGACTGGGGGACCCTGTCCTGAGCCCCGAGCTTTCCATATGGGCTGACAACCTGAGGCTAACCATTCTGTGTCTTAGCGTTCTCCTCTGTAAAATGGGGTTGTGTCTGCCGCAGAATGTTCTGATGAGGGTCAAAGGAGATACGGAGAGACAGCTTTGCAGGCTGCAAATTTCTAAACAAATGCAAGAAATGATTTTGTATAAGCAGATTGTCCAGTAGTTGCTTTGATGTGGTTTTGTATGTGCAATAGTCTCTCCTGGGCATAGGCTTTGCCCTCGGATCTGCTCCCCCGTGTCACAGCCCACCCAGTTGTTCAAACCCCAAAGGTGGGAATCCTTGGGGACCCCTCTCAATACCTTGTATCTAATCCATCAGCCTCCCTGCTTCCCTGCCTGCAACTATATTCCTGATGTCCCTGTGGATCCCGCCTCCCTCTCTGCCTGGTTCCCCCTTGTCCACTGCCATCAGTCCCTCCGTGTGGGCCACATCACATATTTAAGAGCAGCACTGACAACAACGTACGCCTGCATTCCACACCAGGGGACCCCGGAAGGGAGTGTCCTGTTTACATTTGGGCTTCCTAATGGGGGTGAGGGTGAGGAAGCTGGCTTCGGGTTGACTCCGGGATTTGCCTCTTAACTCTGTGTATTTCACTGCATGTACCCTGGAACTGACGGGCGGGGGAGAGTCAGATATTTCTAACTTGTGAATTATGTGCATGATTATGAGAAAGCAGGTTCTTTTCTGCCCTAGCATCTAGAACAGCGCCCAGCACGCGGTAGGCACTCAGCCAACTCTGTTATCGAATCCTTACCCATCTGCCAGGGATCCTGGTCAGCCCCCAGGCGACCAGGTTTTCTCCTTTATCTCTTGGTGCTCCGACAAGGGAGGCTGACGTGTCCTCACGCTTCTGTTCTTCCTGGTTCCTTCAGGTGGGCTCGAGGAGCGGCCGCGTGAAAGCTGGCAGAGTGCTGCAGCCGCGAACGCCAGCAGCAACGAGGAAGCTGGAAAGGGTAATGTGGGGCCCTACCAGGTCTTTGGGCCTTTTTTTTTTTTCTGTGTTAAATTCCACATAACATAAAATTTCCATTTCAACCATTTTAATGTGTGTAACTTAGTGACATTAAGTACATTCACAGTGTTGTACAACCATCCCGCTGTCTCGTTCCAGCATCACCCCAAAGGATATCCCACACCCACGAAGCAGTCATTCCCCCTTTGATACCTTCTTTTTTTTTTTTTTTTTTTTTAGATTTTATTTATTTATTTGAGAGAGAGAGAGAGTGAGCAAGAGAGAGAGAGCTTGAGCTCGGGGAGGTGCAGAGGCAGAGGGAGAAGCCAGCTCCTCGCTGAGCAGGGAGCTTTCCGTGGGCCTCCATCCCAGGACCCTGAGATCATGACCTGAGAGGGAGGCAGACGCTTAACCATTGAGCCACCCCAGGTGCCCCAGCTTTGGAAACCTCTTATTCCACTTTTTACTTTTTACTTTCTATCTTAGTGGACTAGGAGCACTGAAGTCTGTGGGAATGAGGGAGAGTGTCCTTTTGTTGAGGATAGACTGGCTACCAAAGAAAGCCCTAGACGGGTGGCGTTTGGTTGCTCAGGGGCTGTATGGTCTTCAGCTAAACTCTGCTGCCATTGAGGCTCATGACTCTTCTCACCAGTGCTTGGCTTGTGAGTTGCAGCCCCCAAGAGCAGACAGGAGGGATCATGAGTCCTTGGAAACTAGGAGTCTGACAGAACAAGTGGGCATGGGAGGCAAGGAGAGAAAATAAAGCTGGGATGGAGGCTGGGGAGGAGGGAATAGCCCAGAGACCTTGAGGCCTGCAGGGGGAGGATCAAATGAGGCTGTGGCCTGCTGTGGGCAGGGCCACCTGTCAGCAGGTGCCTGCCTGGAAGTGTTGTCTGATATCTGCACACTGATGCTTACACATGGGTGCTGTCCTGTCCCGGTTCTAGCCTGGAGTTTATGGATGGAGGTGTCTCCCTGGAAGCATCACTGCCGGCAATGGCATTTCTTCTACATAAAATAAATGCAGAGCAAAGGGAATAATTTATTTTAATTGAAGTATAGTTGACAGTGTCAAAAGGAATATTTTTTAGTGTCTTCTAATCTGTAGTCAGATGCATTATCCATTGCGTCACTGACCCTGTCAAAAGGAATAATTTTTAAATGCCAGAATCCTTTTTTCAAGGATGGCCATGTAGGAATAAAATAGAAATCATTTGCCATGTTTTCACTTTAATGCTGTTTTATATTTGCCACATAAATATGCATATATATAATTTCACACAAATGCATAAATGTAATGATATCATCATATCCCTTTTAAATGTTTTTTTTTTTTTTTTAATTCTTTTTCTGGGGGATCCCTGGGTGGCTCGGCGGTTTGGCACCTGCCTTTGGCCCAGGGCGCGATCCTGGAGTCCCCGGATCGAGTCCCACGTCGGGCTCCCTGCATGGAGCCTGCTTCTCCCTCTGCCTGTGTCTCTGCTCTCTCTCTCTCTCTCTCTCTGTTTATCATGAATAAATAAATAAATCTTTTAAAATAAATAAATTCTTTTCCCTTTCATTTGGCTACCTCCCTCCCTTCTTCTTTCTACATACTGCTCTTCTACCCTTCCCCAGGTAATGCAAGCTGATGACTTTGTGGGCATCTTCCATATTTTTCTCATGCACATGTATTTATATAGACACTTACATAGGGATATAAACATGTATACAAATACAAGCTTCATCATTTTAAAAAGTGGGATCATATTCAATATGTGTTTTTTATGAATCATACTTTTCTCATTCAGCAGTACATCATGGGAAACCCCTTTAATGCCCTTTGATAACTTCAATTTATTCTTTTTTTAAAGATTTAATTTATTTATTCATGAGAGACACAGAGAAAGGCAGAGACATAGGCAGAGGGAGAAGTAGGCTCCCCACGGGGAGCCCAATGTGGGACTCGATCCCAGGACCCCAGGATCATGGGATCCAGGATCCCAGGATCTGCCCAAAGGCAGATGCTCAACCACTGAGCCACCCAGGTGTCCCAACTTCAATTTATTCTTTTGAATATTTTGCAAAATATTCCTGGCATGGATGGACCATAATTGATCCAATGATTCCCTTATCAATTAACATTCACCTCATTTCAAGTTTTTGTCATCACAAGCAATGCTACAGTAGACATTCCTGAACGTAGATCCTCACATGCTTGAGATGTTTTTAACAGGTGTTGCTAAAATGGGCTTCAAAGCGTAACGCCATTCACATTTCCATAGCAACTTATGAATGTGCCCCTTTCACCATATCCTCTCTAGCACTAGGTGCTATTAGTGTTTTTAATAATGTAAACAGTAGTGTATTATTACTTAATTTGGATTTCCCTGACTGCTGATGACTTTGAGCATCTTTTCCTGCCTTTTGCCAGTGATTTAGGGGGTATACTTCTGTAATTTGCCTCTTCCTATCTTTTGCTTATTTTTCTATTGGGCTGCTGATCCCCCTCTTATCAGTTTGGCCTCTTTTAGAGAAGGGCAAATTCATTAGCTCCCATGCACCCACCTCCTCCCTCCTGCTTTTGATAAATGTGCATTCATTTCTCTATCTCACAGCATGTTGCTGGGACCATGTGCAGGGCTTCCTTTAAAATCTGTGGTTTCCTGCTTTGCTTTTTCAAAGTATTTTGGCTTGTGCTTTCTTAGACTCCCCAGACAACTGGTCATCTCAGTGGCACTTCATTTTGGCCACAGATGACCAGCACTTAGTGCTAACAATGGAGCATAGGGTGTGAGGATGAAACTAGAGGGGTTTGCTATCACCGCAGTGATATAGATGCCACACCTGATTTTTTTGTTGTTCCTAAGTGATTTATTGTTGCATAAAACCTCTCCTGAACCTAATGACTACAGTGATTTGTTATCTTTCATGATTCTGTGGGTTGACTGGGCTCTGTGGGGTGTTTCTTTGGCTAACATCAGCTGGGTCACTCACTTGACTGGGCTGGGTGGCCCTGGGTGGTGGTCCAAAAAAAGTTGTAATCACGTGTACCTCCATGTGGCTCTTCTCTCCACATGGATTTCCATTTAGCTGTCTAAACCGAGATTTTTTTTACAGTATGGCAGCTGGCTTCTCAGAGAGAAGAAGCAGAAGCCACCAGTCCACTTAAGGCTTGAACTCAGAGTACCCAGAATGCTACTTCCGCCACATTCTATTGGTCAAACAAGCCAAAAGTCCTGCCCAACTGCAAGAAGAAAATAGATTCCACTCCTTAATGTGAAAAACAGCATGAGCTCACAAGGATAAGAGCTGTGGCTGTATTTAGAGACCAGATCCTGCCTTTTCTCTGCATCTTACCTGCCAACCAGCAATAGACATGTCAGGGTTCTTAGTATTTACTAATCTGTTGGTATAAAATGACTCAACTGAATAAATCTAGACAGTCAGACACACTTGGGTTTGCACCCCAGCTTAGTCACTTAGTAGCTAGGACCTCATATAAGTGTTCATATGAGGTTTGGAGAGAATTAGAAATAATATTTATGCAAAGTGCACAGCCAAGTGTCTGGAATTTAAGAGGTGCTGGACGAATGTAGCTACTCCACTTTTTCCTCTCTACCTCCACCTCCAAGAACAATATTATCCAGCATTGGAAGTGTATCATCCACCTCTGGACTGGGATTCCACAGCTGTTCAACAGCTGCACAGAAACACAATTAAGGGAGACCGGAAGAAATAAGGGGGCTGCAGCTCATTAACATTCTGCCTCGGGTATGTTGGCTTGTGCATGATACCCACACTGGAACAAGAGATTTTTGGGGGACTTTTTAAGGAGGACAGTGAATGCACGCCCCCAGCCACCATGCCTCATACCCCTAACAGGGTCTAAATCTGTAGTCTGCAGACCCTCCAATGACCCTGGTTTTTTTTTTTTTTAAGATTTTTTTATTTATTTACTCATGAGAGACACAGAGAGAGGGAGAGGCAGAGACACAGGCAGAGGGAGAAGCAGGCTCCATGAAGGGAGCCCAACGTGGGACTTGATCTGGGTCTCCAGGATCACGCCCTGGGCCGAAGGCAGGCGCCAAACCGCTGAGCCACCTGGGCTGCCCCCGACCCTGGTTTTTTGGAAGAGGATAATGTTAAGGCGAAGCCAGTCTCTCCACTCCATATTGTAGCAGCAGATGGGCAGGGCCTTAAGCATCCTGGGCAAGCCTGATGAGGAAGGAGACCCTTGGCATCCTCAGAGGTGAGCCGAGAGCAGGCTGTTCTAGTCCGCCCCTCCAGCCTTCCCTCGATCTGATTCACCTCTCCAGGGCCTTGTCAGGCACCAGCATGGGTGCCTCTTGTTTTTGTTTAAATTAAAGATAAGACAAATTGTGTCAATCTCAGATTCCCTTTTAATCATGACCTGACCCCCTCCCACCACCCCTAGAAAAAGAGACCGCCCAAGCAGGAGAAAGGATCTGAGGGAAGCCCCTCCACTCTGGCCCCTTGGCTTCAGCAGCGGTTTTATTTCCTGGCATTATGTGGCTCCCCTCAGCCCTGACCACAGGGATTTGTGCTCCCAGCTTTGGGAAAGGCTGGGGAGCTCATAGAATTGCTCGCTCAGCATCGCCCTGGCAGACCATTTGGTCTGAAGAGTCTCCCTCCCCTGGAGATGAGTGCTCAGCATGCATTTCAGAGCTGCTAATAGGATTAATGAAATGGAGTGTGTAACCGCTCCTCCAATGAAGCTGTGACTGTTCGATAGAGCCCGATTTCCAGAACCATATGCATAGCAGAGAATGGACCTTTCACTCCCAGTAACAGTTCCTAAGGGCTTTGTGCTGTAAGAATCACAATGGAATCTTGTTTTACCAGAGACCGCAAACTTGGGTACAAACAGAGCTACTCAGCACCTGAATCCTCAAACGTCACCAATATCGGTGTATCTGGGTGGAACCACTGGACCTAACTTTAGGCATTCTTTCCAGGCTGTCCTCACATGTGGACTTGCTAGCAATTACTGGAGCTCAC